ACTTTTGCCATTATGAGAAAGTTAGCAGGGTTCTTCACTGAAGAGACCAGGACAGAGCTGCAGAGAGGTTTATCAGTCTTCACGGGTCACAGACAGACCATAGAGGAGTTTTCTACCAGTCACTTTCTCTTCTACTGGAAGTGTTCTGCTGAAGCTGTTTGCATTGCCTTGCCCTGTGCCATCTCCCACCTCCCAAAAAAGTTAGTGTCACCACTGATGTCACTGTAACCAGCATTCACATGGACATACAGAATTTACTGTGAAATGAGCTCCCACCCATCCTCATCCCATCTCTGAAGCTGGGTATTTCTTCATTCATTTCCCTTCCTGGCAAATTCATCTACACAAATCAATCTGATTCTATCTAGAAATTTTATCTACAAAACTGTAATATTTTATGTCTCTCAGCATCACAAGTTTTCCCTTCCTTTAGCCTTAAGTTATTTTTGAAGATTTTCAAGGTCCAAGTGGAGTGAGACACTGAATTCTACAATTTGATTCCTGCAGACAGTAGATCTGTCTTCTTTTCATTCTGTCTGCTAGACTAAAGATGCAAAAGATAGCAAGTTGTATTGGGGCATTCTTCTACAAGAAGGTGGTTTCCTACAATACTTCCCATTTAAAAGCCTTTCAGACTCTTTTGACATTTTGTTATATGAAACACATCTTTCAACTTCACTGCAGTTTCATACGTCTTCTCCAAAGCATGTGCTCAAAACATCTTCTGATCCAGACTTTACCTATACCAGGATCCAGTATGTCCTTGTGGAAATGTCCTTCTAACCATGGCCTCTGGTCAGAGAAGCAGACTAGGGAGATGGTGGCAAACAAAAGTGAGCACACCCAAACCATTAAGCAAAGCAAACTGAAACGTACATCAACTAGACCTACACAATTGCATGTATTCCTCTCACAGGATAGAAGAAATTGTGCGAGGCATTAGAAAGAAGGAACAGTGGGCAAGTAGTTGATGCAGTGTTGGGAATTAGATGAGCAAGGTGCTTTGATTCAGGCTTTTATCTGCAGGCCTGTGGGAGGTAGTGTACCACAAGACTGAGTAGGAAAGCACTGCCAGCCTTGAAATATGCAGGATAGGGCTTAGAATAACATTTTTCCCCCCAGTCAACATATTAGAAATGAAAATGTTTTCTTCCTCAGAAAAATAAACCATAGAGCTAGGTAGAGAAAAATGAATATTTCAAACCCAAGCAACTCCTTTTTTCTTTTATTTTCTTTTTTAATTTTTAAAAAAATGTTTAGATTTTATTACTTTCCCTCCCAGGGAAATGTTATATAACATTAATGTTATATAACATTATAATGTACATTATAACATTAAATGTAATACATAACATTAAATGTAATATAACATATAATGTTATATAACATTAAGGAGTAAGATAACACTTCTGCAAAATGCCTTGGTCTGTTAGGTTCTTTGTAACCCAACATATTATTGAAAATTATAATCCTGTCCCATATTTGTACCAGGAAACACCAATAGCCTCCAGAGCCTAGCTGACACAAGATGGGTTCTTGAATAGCCCAAAACTCAATGGAAACTCGTAGAAAACAACAGCTATTGTGAAAAGGTGACTGCAGCGTTATGATAGATATCTAATGATTCAGTGCCCAGCAATCTGTAACAAACATAGCTTAGACTGCCTATCAGTAAAGAAATTGAGGCCAGACAGACAAATTTTTAAACACATCTTACCAATGTCACCTATTAATAGAGGAGAAATGATCACAGACTCACTCCTCTCTTCCTTGTATATTATTGCCCAGAAAATACAAACCAATACAAAAAAGTCCAGCAGGTAGCACGGTATGGATTCATTTCCATGCACACTACAGATCTCACTTCAGAAGACAAAGTGCTTGGTTGAGGTCCAAGACCCATGCCAAAAGTGATCTTCCTTCACAAGGGAGTCGGCGTCTTACATTGTTCATTTCTTTGTTTCACTATCCTGTGGTAAAATCCTTGACCCAGTGAAGTCATTACAACCTTTGTCAAGGATTTTAATCTTGCCCTATATTAAGTATCTACTTATAACTAAGGGAAGATTTCTTGTGCAAGGACAGAGCATTCCCAAAGGGCCATCTAAGGCTGAAATAATTCCCCAAGGAACTGGGAATCATCACAAATCTCATTACCTTCTTGTACAGGGCACTTTGAATTTGCTCTCAGTAACATGAATAGCCACAGTTATTTTAAAACAAAATACATTTGAATGTAATGAACATTAAAAACAAAAGTTAAGGCAGTGAAGCTTTAGGAAATCCAATGGTAATACCAGATAGTGCTGCAGCAAAATTCTTAATTAAAAATAGAAAAAAATGAAATAAAGTATACTGCTCCAGTTGTAAAAAGGCCAAACCCCCATTTTGGAAAGGCTTTTCATCTTAAAGAAACTACACGGAGCAGTGACTTTACAGTTGACAAAGACTTTGAAGCAGCAAAACCCTGCTGCATGAGAGAGATACAGGACAAAATGGTGATGCAAAAATAGAAAGATAAATATAACTAGATGTGCCACGCAGAACCCAGAAAGCTGAGGCAGGTGTTGTCATAGCTGTCAGCTTTCAGGTTCCTTCTTTCTTCAATTTTTTTTCAAATCGTATCTTGATTCTTCAATAAAAACCATGGAAAAGGACCAGATATGAAATTTTTGGATTTAAATCCATAATTCCAAGTGTTTTGAAAAGCCGTCTAAAACTTCTGTATATCCACTAAAAAAAGCAAAAAAAAAAAAGAACCCTGCAACCCAATAATCTTGATTTTTTTTTTCAAAACTTTGTTTCTGAGAAATTAGAAAAGACAAGTGTTTCCAGAGGAAAATATAATAGTTTTAAAATATTAAAACCTCAGATAAATCACATAAAAATACAATTAAATATTTTATAAAAATTGAAGTACTTCTTGCTTGTAAACAAGTAACCTAGAAGAAATTGCAGCATAAAAATGCAGAGTTTGCACTTCTTAATGAAGTCTCAGAGGCAAAAGTATCCCAGGCTCTGTCACTTCTGTGGCATGGTCCGAAATGAGAAAATCCCCACCACTGTGACACTGTTACAAAAATAGCCAGCACTGGCAAGGGAGCATCAACTGACTTCAGTAAAGGAGGGAAATACTGGCAAGCTCAAGCCTTGACCTCTAGCAGTGATATTCTTGTTTCAAGACTTGGAGGTCTACACACATATCCACCTATTTCTGTCAAGAGTCTACCCTTGCTGCAATCTATCCCCGGGCAGAGAGCCAGTGCAAAATCTCTCCAGCACAGAATCCCCACTTGAGCCATGGGTTTAATTGGAACATAATGAAGGGAGTGGCTGAAAATAACCTGCCCTTACAAGGCAATCACATTTCAGGATTCCCAGGCCATAGGGAAAACGTATCTGTAAACAGCAGGGTCTCTGGGTCCTGCCTTTCCCATCATCTTCTTCTCCTTGGAAAAGGAACCTTGAGAAACTTCTGTGAAAGCAGCAATCCCAATGTGGGAAAGAGAACTTTTAGTGGCTTTGTTCTCCCTTGAACTGCCCCCACAGGGCTATGCCAACTGCAGGCGAGTAGTGGAGTGCACTTTTTCCCAGTTCTGTACAATGTGAGGGCAGGGGAATGTGTGCTCCAGGAGCCTCTTTGCAGACGGTGAGTTTTTTTCCTTTATGCATTCGTCTTTTCCGCTAGCTCGTAATCTGCCCCCTAGCTTCCCTGGGGCCAAGGGGAAGAGGATGATCTTTATATAGCTGTCCTCGGGGACTGGGTGAATCACAGAGTAGCATCTAATCCCTCTTGCACTCCGCAACTGTAAAACATCCCAGCTGAATATCAAGCCAGGGAAAATAAGTTGCAGTTTTATGTACAAAAATCAGGGAGAGATATCACAAGCACAGTTAGAGGAGTTATCAGTTTCCGACATAAAACTCAAACTGAAAAATTAAACAAAGGGAAAACAGCCAGAGACCAGGGAGGGTGCAGAAACCACCCAGAAAGGCCAAGATACCATGCTCTTTATCTTGGCACTTAATTTTTCATAAGTTTTTGAAAAATAATATTCAGTAGTCATTGGGTGAATCTATTGCATTATTTTCTTTTCTTTCTTTTTATTTTTCTCTTTTTTTTTCTTTTTTTTTTTAATGGAGAGGGCAAGGAGCCATGTTTCTGTAAAAGCTTGGCCACCATGTTTGGTATCTGAGCTGTATATCATGCACTGTTTGTCATTTCACGCCACTTAGAACAAATCCCAGCTGGCTGGAATCCTAGTCCTGTGGACTGTGAGTCATGGATATTAAATGACCATCATGTGAGCTCCTGCATGCTGCTGTGTTTAGTGTGTGGCACTGTAAAGTTGTACAGTATCTTATCACAGAAGATCATCAGCATGCATGCACAATTAGAGCAGGAGCACTTTCATAACAACACAAATTATTTGTTTTAGCAAGAGGCAAGAAAGGGGTAGAGATGCATGAAGCTGAAGCAAAGGTACAGCATTTATGTGATTTTTGGAAGACCAGTAAGACACCAGTTGTTGGTTCTGTAGCAGCAGACCTAGGGCAAGAATGGAAAAGGTACTGTCCATAGTGGAAGGCTTTGAAAGAACCTTTAAATCTGCTTGAGGAAATCCTGTAGCAGTCTTTTTGATGCATAATTATTATCCAGTCCAGTCTCACCCAGGATATCCAGTATCCTACCCAGGATAAGGAAATGAAGACAAGCCTTTAAGTATTTGTCTCATAGGAACGAGAACAAATTTTGGGATTGACTAAAATGCCAGTCCCAGTTCACAATTTTAAAACAAGCAATGAGATCTTTTGCACTGATGTGATATGGACAATCCTTGAAGTGGATGGTTTTAGTCTAGCAGAAGCCCAAATTAGAATATTTATTCAGCAATCCATTTTATGTTAATGACATGCAGGAAATCTGTACTACAAATCAAAGATTGCAAAAAACTTAGTGCTAGGGGAAAACATTATTTTCAAAGAATGCCATTTCATACCTGGAGTAGGTAGGTTTATTCCATCCTAGTTATGAGCTGGGTAATTTCCTGCCATCGGTGATAAAATTTAAATCCATTTTAAACAACATCAGGAGAACCCTGTAAGAGTTGGATGTGAAAGCTCATTTCCATCTTCGTTAGCATGGGTAAGTAATTCAGGTTAGAAATTGCTGCTATCCAGTCCAAAGTGTTATCCAGTTCCTGCAGGTTCCTATGAGTTCATGGACTGCTATCAAAGGTTCTGAGGAGTCTCTAATGTTTCAGCTTTCAGTCACGGCTCCAACAAAACTACTTCTCTTGCTGCTAGTTCCAGCTTAGATCTGGTTTTCTGTCTTTGCATGTGATTTTCTTCCTGGTAGCAGCTACCAGCTTCTTCCCACTATCCCAGCAGTTTCCCCTACCTTTGCTTATGTTTCTACCACGTCATAGCAGTGTAGTTAGCTCTCCTTAGGTCAGCAAAGCCAGACGTTCATAGCTTGCACTTTCTAACACTTTTCAAGCACTGAGTCCTTTAAAATGTATTGCACTTCTTGAAATAAGCATCAAAAATTTAGCATTTGAAGTCTGTTCACGGGCCAAAAGATACAGTTAAAACTCACTACTGATTTTTTGTACAGAAGCCCGGGATTTTAGAGAAAAAAATATGACTTGAATCAAATGAGGAAAATTTATTCACATTGATCCAGACTTAATCAAAATCACCATTATAAGGACATCAGTAAGTTATATGAGAGGAAGATTAAAACTATTAATGCACTGAACTCAAGTTACTGCGACTGTCAGAGAGAAATCAAGCACTATGTTGGGAAGTGTTAATAAAAACAGCATGTTAAATATACAACTATGTCACTATAGCTAGCTCCAATCTTCCTTGATTTTTTTTATTCCTTTATTAATATAGAGGAAAAATTTTTAAATGCTGTTGAATTTGGAAGAGTTTAAGAGCAATCATCTTCAAATATGGAGAAGCTTTTATGGACAGAAAAGACCAAGAGGAAGCAAGGTTATTCATGGACATATGAATGGATATCAGATAAAAGATAAATCAGTCGTCAACTCACTGGGAAGACTAGGAAGTAATAAAATAAAGCATTAAAAAGGAAAAAAGCAGATAAAAAATTAGAGAAATTTTCATAACTATGTGAAGGCAAAATAAACCCAGATGCAAATGCAGAAGCAAGGTGCCAGGAAAAGCTATGAAATTAACTTCACAGGGGATATTCAAGATATTGGTCTGTGGGGAGTTACTTCAGCATAATGAAATCAGAGCTTTCAAGATGCAAAGACAGGAACTGGGGAATCCATTCACCACCATCTAACCCAAATAAGCAGAAATAGCTTGGTGAGCTAAACATTATGTTGTCACAAGTTGTCCCCGTTTATTGTAACCCAGTTTTCTTGAAATACATGGAACAGACAAGTATGCTGACAATGGCCTCATAACCTGAATGTGACAGCAAGGCCAGACATGGGTATCTGACTAAAAGTCATTGCTATTTTTCCAGGTAAAACCTTTCCTTTAATTTAACATGCTTTAGTGAAATAATTTCAGAACTGTTACTTGAAAGCATACTGAGATAAATTCTCAAGGAATTTTAATGAATAGTTGCTTTGTTTCTAAGCAAAGATTAATGCTTTTGCATAAGGGTTGGAAAGCAGTTTTACAGTCAGAGGAAAACAGAAGTCCCCGCTGCTCCCTCAATGAGAGCACAGGCCTGTCAGCCTGATTCTGGTGTTTGGAAATAGAAATATTTTCTTCTTTTCTTTACACAACTGTGATAACAATCTGTAAACCAATGTACAACTAAAGTGTCTCCAGGAATTACACTGTTTGCAAGAAAATGCATTTTAAACTTATTATAATAGTGTACTCAAGAGCTTGAAATTTCCATGCCCACAGGGCAATATAGCACTACATTTGTGATTTGATGTCACAAGCATGTAGACTTCAGTTTTACAAATACTCTTCAAGAAAACATTTAATTTTTCTCTCCAGGGAAAACATTAAACCCTACCTCAGAAAACTGTACAGAAGGAAGGAAATTTGGTTTGAAATGGCCATGTTTTGGCTTCCAGTCACCAAAATCAAATCTCCTCCCCATATGTATTCCAGATTTAGCTTCATAGCCCTACTGCTCTGAACCTAAATAATAAAACTAGAACATATTTTACCCTTTATACTGTGTTCCATTTGTAACATTCCAGAGAGTTTTTCATATTTTCCAGAATTCTGGAGGTCCATGATTACTTATGGTTTCTAAGGAAATAAGGTTTAGATGATCACAATCTGCCCACTCATACATTTCTCTTTCCTTCTCTCTTTTGAAAAAACAGAGTATTTTAATCACATTTGACTGGATGATGAAGATATAGAAGATATAACACTTCTTTGGGTAAAGGAAAAAGAACCAAGCTGGTTCTGCCAAAGGGATCCAGCCACTGTGGGGCCATAGGTGGGAGCCAGGTGGCCAGTCTGCATGTGTGTATTGACGGGGCAACCAGCACCTTGCTTGGATTTGCCCTTGTCACACCGTGTGCTGCCACTCACCCATCTGGTTAGGTAAAATTCCCGTCACAAAGCTGGGACATCAAAAATGATCCACTAAAAACCTGCTTCTCTTTTTGGAGAGTCATGTGGATCCCAGGCTCTGGAAGTGCACTGCTGTGAAAGATAAAACAGATTCCAGCACTGCCAGAGTTACACAAGGGATAAGCCCTCAGGATTGCCAAAACAGAAGCAGATATCCATAATTATCTAATATCCAGCATTACTGAAGTCCTGCACCAAGTACTCGCCCAGAGCACATGCAGGGGCATGGCTTCAGATCTCTGTCTCCCAGCCAGAATTAGTCCTGGTGTGCTCAGCAAGGCACTGCTCAGCCTGGACTGCAAAACAGAGATGGAAGTACCCACAGAAGTGTCCTGCCCAGTGATGGGCACTTCAGCACTGTGGGAAGCCCACCCAGTGCTCTGGGTAGCTGTGTTGGCAAACTGGCTGAATGGTGGCTTTGTTGCCTCAGCTGTCATACTCCGTTTAAAGGGAGTTCAGGAGTGAATTGCCCCTGCATCAAATGCATCCAGCTCATCAATCAATGCACACACAGTATTTATTTGTACCTCATTCCAATCAGCCTCAGGTTGCGCTGGGGGAGGCTTAGACTGGATATTGGGAAAAACTTATTTACTGAGATGGTGGAAAAGGTTGCCCGGGGAAGTGGTGGAATCACAGTACCTGGAAGTGCTCAGGTGTATAAGGCCCTTTGACACATCATTTAGTTGTGGGCCTACAGTGTTAGATTACGCTTGGCCTTTTGCAACCAAAACAATGCTAGGATTGTGTGATTCTATAGGACCTAGAAAGATTTAAATCAGTTGAGCAAACATGAACAGAGAGCATTTACATAACAACATTCTAAAAGGCTTAAAAGTGCTATCTAGCCAATTGCCTAATTGAAACATTTCACATTTGAAACTGTGTTCACAGTTTGTTATGTTCACATTTGCCCTGTTAGGTTACAAACCACTGCAATTCTCACGTTTTACACACACAACATTGAAACACTATCTGCAGTGTAGATACCCACACATGAACCCTTCAAATTCAGAGGAGGAGAGTGGGCACTTACAGGACAAGAGCTGCCTAAGCAATTTCAGTCCTCTGCCGTGTGATGGGATCAACTCCTTTCTGGGAAACTGGCAGCACATTAACACCGTGCAGGGAGTCTGGAGCTGGCCCTGGCATCCAGAGTGTAGGCACAGCCTTGGTCACAGGGCTGAGAGGAGAGGGGGAGCTGAGACTGACAGCTGCACTGCTGGGAGCTGAAGTGAGAAAGGCTAAAGGTGAGGGGCAAATTGCTGCAGGAGCAAGTGTCACGGTATCTGGTTTCAGCCAAGCAAGCTACCTACCTGCACTTTACTCCCTTACACATCCAGCCTGTTTGTTAACATGCTGATTTCTGTCCGCTTCACACACAAATGTGCCTAAAAGTCACTGAAGTCAAAGGATGTGAGTTAATTTTTTCAGTCAGGATAACTGTGCAGAAAGCGTAACAGGGAGTAATTTGCAGATTCAAAAATTAGTATCTAATTTAACCAAGAAGAATGCCGAGAGAATATCTAGAGTGGGCTTTGTGGTGAAATAAAGAGTTTAACATGAACATCTTCAAGAATCTTGCTCTAAAAGTTATTGTGTTTCACTAAGGTAGAGACTACATGAAGTCCTGAATGGGATAACCATTTCAGTGAAAGCAAGTAAACTTCAGCAGGGTCAATGTGCTGGCTCTGGCTGAGCTGAAGGTCACTTCCCCAGAGCAGCCCTCACCAAGCTCTGCTCTGTGCTGGCTGGTTGGTGCAAGCTCAGCTCTGGCTGCGAAGGTGTTGATAACTCACCTGTGCTTTGGGTCCTGCTGAGCAGGGCTGGCACAGCAACAGCCCTCTCCAACCTTCCCCCTCCATCTGATGGCTGATCCTGGGAGGGAACACAGCTGGGCTAGCCAGACCAAATTTACCAAATGGATATTCCATGTCAGAGGATGTGAGCTCAGATATAAAAGCTAAGCAAAAAAAAGGAAGGGGAGGCATTCCTTATTTACAATGTTTGCCTTATGGAGCAACTACTCCAAGTGCTGATGCTTTGCTTCCCAGAAGGTGGCCAGATATCATTTGCTGAGCAGAAGCAGAGGATAAAACTTTTTTTTTTCCTCTTTGTTTGTGCGTGCCCTAACTTCCACTTTTGCTTTGTTAACTGCCTTATCTCCATCTATGAGTTGTTTTTATTTTATTTTCTATCCCCTGTCCAGCTGAGAAAGGGGAGTGATAGAGTGGTTTGGTGGTCACCTGGCATCCCAACAAGGTCAGCCCACCACAGGGAAGAAAGAGGGGGGAAAAAAGCAACCTTTCTGATGTAATTTTTAATGAATTAAGCCTGAGCTTTCTTCCCAGTGTATTTTAAAATATATTGTAAGAGCATTATGTACATTGCATGCATAAATGTATGAGTCATGTAACCCTAACCTGACCTGACATTAATGAGTTATGATTTTATATGGATAACACTGGCACATTCTTGACAAACAAATGTGGCAAATCTCTAAGCAGGGCCCAAGGCACCTTGTCATGAAAAATCCCTGCCCAGCACACCTTCCAGAGTAGCCAAAGAGCAGCACAGTAGATCGTGTCAGGAGCTATTCAGGCAGGTGACATTGGAAACAGATGAAAGTGTCTCCTACTGTCTGGTGATAGCCAGGAAAGCACACTGGCATGCCAGGGAGGTAAGATGCTTGGGAGGCCCTGGGAGCAAGATACCCTGAGAAGCTGACAAGACAATTGGAGAATCTGACTCTGTGCAGAGTCAAATGTGCCACCTTTGTGGTCCTGAGGAACTTGAGAGA